CACTAGATCAATGATGTCAGTGTCCATTACATGTTCTGCACTTAAATCAAGGTGAAAACTTCTGAGCATAATTGGTTGATTAGGTGGACAAAGTGAAATAGAGAGCATATAAGCAACATCATCAGAACTGTATAGTCTTCCTTTAATCTTTCCTTCCAAGTATGGATTGATTTACAACTTAAGACCATAATTCAATATATATCATCAATGTATATCATTAATTTACTATATATCCCCTTTATTAGCTAGGTGCTGAGGATTCAGTATGAATTAGGCTTGACTTCAAAGATACATGTGCTTGGATAGAGCATAAGATACATCTACAAGTTAGATGGAAGAAAGAATGGAATGGAAGAAGAATGGAAGAAAGAATCGTTCATGGAAGAAAGAATGAGGGAATGGCTATTCTGCCATGTACATGACTTCACTCTAGGCAGGATATTGCCTGAATCATCTCCTGTTACTTGTCATCTCACCCAAACAAACCAGACAAAGTACGCATCCCTCTACCCCTCCCCATCCAGCCCATCTTTTTGAGGTGGTAGGTTGAAAATGACTGGCCTCCAAACTTTCCTATTTGCAGTATGTAGAGAGTGCTTCACTCTGTTATCTCAGCAGGGCAAAATCTTAACCGTTTTTCAATATGCTATACATTTTGTGTACACTACTATGGATCTTTGCCACAAAGTCTCTCCACCTCAAGGTAGTGTCCCCTAAAGGAAAGAGGTGATAACAGCTGCAGAAAAATTTAGAGGACTCCAAAGAATAGAGAAATTAAAAAAGGACTTTCCATATCCCCACTGAGAATCTTAGGAAGCAGCTCAGTGTGTCTAAGCAGAGGGGGCTGGGATGGTCCCAGAGTCTTCTGTGCCATGGAAGCGATATGGGAGAGGCCTATAAGTGGAGGTGAGGAAGACAATAAATTCAGGACTGTTGAGGGAGACCATGGGGGAATTTGGATGTCCCAGCAGATGCCCGTGAGGTATGATGCCATTGACCAAAAACTATGAAACTAAGCTTGTAACATTTTTTTAATGCATACCTGAATATGTATATTGAAAACATCATAACTGCTATAAAGATTGTGGAATCAAATGTCTTTTCCCTCAGCCTTCTCTATTAAGAAATTATCTCCGTCCTCTACATGTCTATTCCTTGGTGAAATCATTCTTGTGACACTTTTGGGGGGAGATTATAGTAGAGTAATTAATGCCATTTGTTCTGTTTTCTTTATAAGATTGAAATCTTGTTAGATTATGTCACATTTACCCTGTTATATCCCCATCCCTTGTAGGGTCAAACACAAGGTCTTGTACTTCTCACATAGTAGGGATTTTGTATATATTATGTTATGAAATTAACTGAATTGTAAAGAAAATACCGTTTAGTTTGTATTCCAGAAAAGACCCTTTCATATACCACATTATAGGACAAAGTAGCATCACATAGTTCTTTATCACATATGTGAATGAGTTCCCATGTAAACAAGACCTTTAAGCAGAAGAACAAAACTAGGAAAATTCTGTCAGTTACATAATTAGAGTTTTGCAGAGAATTTACCCTGAATTCTGTAAAGCAGATGATTCAGTCTTGTGGATCCAAATAGGTATTCATTATGTCTCCAGAATGCCCTTTTCTTTATCCATCATTATAGAAGCTCTAATGGTAAGGCACATTTTAGAGAATATGTAACTTTCCATGAAGATTCAGATTTCCACTTACAAAAAATTGTGTATGGAAAAACCCTGGCTGTGATTCCTATATAAACATCGAGAAAATGAAGAGAGAAACTTTAGTATGAAACCTTTACCTGGACGAATTTTCTTCTTATCCTGACCCTGGCTTCATTACAGTAGGTTGTTGGAGTAGTATTTGTCTTTCCTTTGTGATTTTTTATTTTAGGCCATTCTCATAAAAATTGATTTTGTCTGATTTATTAATTTCTGAGACTTAAAATACCACTGAACTGTATTTAAGTTTTCTTTATATTGGTAACCAACATCTCCATGCATCTGTATGAGACTGTCCCACAAGTCGACTTACCTCATACTGAAAAGATGAGATATTGATTCTTTCATGCATCCAGCAAATTGTTAGAATAGGGTCTTTTTTTTTTTTTTTGTAATTAAAGGTAACTGTAACTATGAGGATATGATTATGAAATAAATATTGGAAAGTCTGCTTGAGAAAATAGAAACTACTCACCCTATTAAAAATAATTTTTAAGAACGCCTGGCTGGCTCAGTTGGTGCAGCATGTGACTTGACCTTGGGGCTGTAAGTTCGAGTCCCATGTTGGGTGTAGATATTACTTTAAAAAAATAATTTTTATGTGTCTCAAATTGTAAAACATTCATGATGAACATGAAATCCAAAGTGCATTTTTACAGTAAATTTGTAACTTTGAGAAGAAATATCTTAGTATCTAACTAAAGAATATGACACACCGGAACTTTTAGATTCTGGAACTAATTGTCTTACTGTTTGACATTTTTATATACATTTATTCATTTTATATAAATATAGACACTTATAGAAATATAAATGTATTTCACATTTCTCCCTAAACATATACTTACATATTTATATTCTTTTTCTGAAGTATTTGTATTCTTGACGCACCTCACACTTTAGAGGTAGTAATAGTTAACTCGTTAAAAACCAAAAACAAACAAATAGAACAACAGCACAAAACCCCTTTCTCTAGCCTAAGAATGCATGGGCCTTTTATATACGAATCTTTTAAGTCTCTCTTAACACGGATCCCATGGCATCACAGTAAGCAAGACAAATACTTTGGATGGAAGCAAATGCCTTTGCAATGTTCGTACAAATTTATATTCCTATTAATACAGATATACCAGGAATAAAGTATATTTTTAATTTCTTTTAGGAACATGACTATATTCCTTCTCATAGCTAATGGTAAGATATCATCACTATTGGGAATTGAAGTACACAAAAGAGAAAAAAAAATAGTTCTTCAATGACCAAATGTGATTTTCATAAATTGCATTTAGTGATTAATGTGATTAATCCTGAAAAGAAGAAATCCAGAAAAGAAGAAAGCAAGAACTCCTTACTTCTTTTGAACTACATTTCACTCCACAAATACTAATATCAAACAAAGAGTAGAGAGTTATGTGAAAGGCCTGTAAAGGATAATTCTGTACAGGAACTTGCATAGAATTATTTTCCATCAACTAATCACAATCTTCATTAATGTAAATGAAATCTATTTTAGCTTCCAGGAATGTCATTGATTCTTTAAGGGATCTAAAAGAATAAAGAATGAATGTATAAGAATAGTAATATGATGGTAATGTGTAATAATTATACATCTACCTAATTGCACAATATAGTGCAAAGTGTAATCAGTACCTTGAAAGAGCAATTTAGTAATCATTAAAAATTCTTAGGTGTTTCCCTCATAGTCCAGTGATACAAAGCAAGTGTTGCACATTTTATACCGATATCAATCATCACTTTAAAATTGATTTCAAGTTTATCTTACTGAGTACAAAAATTGGCTGTCTTTGATTTTAAATAACTCTTAAATATGAAAATACTTTGATATTATATTACCTATGATGTATTTAAATTACATGCTGTAGCTTTCCACAACTCATCCTGCTACTTTTTGTTTTCCTACATACAAACAGAAACGTCCTTTGAGTAAAATCCTTCATTAGCTGATAGGTCTCTTTTTGTTGATAAATCCTAGAGATATGCTAATTCCAGAAAACGGATAAGGAGACAAGAATCTTAATCACTAAATCACAAAATCTTTTATAGAATTGAATAACCTCCAGATGCTATCTTCTTTAGCCTTGTAAACTGATGTAAACGTATTTCAGACTGTAGGTGTTTCTTCCCTTTAATGAAGTCATTTTTAGCTTTTAGTGGTCTACAAATAGCAAGCTAAATAAAATAATGTCTTCTTTTTTATACTCCAAGAGCACTAAAAATGAACAACAGCCTCTTTGCTAAGCTGGTCTACTGTATCTCCAACTCTGTAGGCATATTTCATTTAAATGATTCCTTGTCTCGCACAACATGCACATTCAGTCTTGGCACGCAGTTGGGCCAGCGGCCATTTATAACGTTGTGCATAGATTTGTGAGAGGAGAAAATATTGTTCTGTTTGTCAGTACTTCTTAAACTTTCGTTTGCATGCAAAATTACCTGGGGAGCTTGGTAAAATACAGCTTCTGACTCAGTAGCGCAGGGGTAAGGCCCAAAAGTCCACATTTCCAAGAAACCCGAGGTGACCTAGTGCTGCTGGCCCACTGATCCTCACTTTGTTTGCCAGGCATGATCGATGTGATGTATTTTCAACTTTTCTCTTGAATTAAATGAAAACTTGAGGAAAGAAACCCAGCCCATCTTCATCTGTTCTCCAGCAGGGCCAAGCACAGCACTAGGCATCTAGTGGGTGCTTGATAAATGTATGTTGCTTGCCAGAAGATATATCAAGAGTAAAGACTCATTGCTCTCTGGTGACCTATTTTGTTTTCTCTCAGGATGCATAAACAACAAGCGACCCTCTTCTCAACTTGTAATTTGATCTGGAACAACTCCAGTAGCAAACTGAAATGATAGGGCTGCGCTAGAAGTCACAGAACTGGGATGATGGCTTTGTTCACCTCTCCCCTGCTTTCCCTGTCTAGCTAGAATGTATTGTAGGACTGGTGCCCTCTTCAACTCATGGAAATAAAAGCACTGCATGGCCCAAAGTACTGAAGTCATAAGCCTCTTTAAGGGAAAGTAAGGGGGAAACAGGAGGCTGAGGATAATACCATGCAAGCTCTCTTTAATTTGAAAGCATCAATAGATAATTCACCCAGAGTTACATATGCATTGCTTTGACCTTCTTCTAAGATGTGAAATTGTTTGCTCCTGAGGCCGTTTATCCATAGTATTTTTTAGTTAAAATTGCTCCTCAACATTTTTGAATACTGAAGAAGTCACAGGTGTGTGGCTGTTGTGTTTTTCTCCTAGATCATTAGGCATCCATTTTCAAGAGTGTACAATGAGGGCAACCTATGGGATGTGTGGGCAGCTTGACTTCTCCGCGTGACGGGTAGGTAACTCTGCTTAACGTGTCAACAGTCTTTTACACACTCTGTGCTTAGAAAATCATTGTTGGTCTGATTTTTTTCTAGTATTCCATATAAGTAATGGCTTCGTTAAATGAGAAGAATCGTTGAAAATATACTAGCATCAAGTCTAAATATAAAGAGGTTAAATGACCTTTTCGAGGTCAACACACTGGTCATTGACAAATTTGCACCGGATCTCATCTCTGTATCCCCAGGTTACTTTACCAAGTTAGCTCATTTTTTCTTCCTATTCATCGTATTTTCCGGGAAGTAGTGAAGGTCTATAAAACTCTTGAAAATAACAAATATATTTTACTGTCAGACCTGAGACTAGAAAAACAAGGGTTATACTGTTAAAAACCTTACAACTTATAGCAGACTTTAAAATTGACTTCTAGCTATGTTTAGAACCCTAAGGAGATAATGGCAAGTCATTCTTCTTTAGAAATATGTCATCATTAAGGGATAGAAAATAGTTCTCCATTCTAAAGAATAGCTCTCTGTAGGATTTGTTGAGCTTTCTGTAGCTAAAGTTACTAAACAAAATAAATGACATCTCATAACGTTCTGTTGTCTTTGGTTTCAAATAACGTATTTTATTATGTTTTTCACTCCTGGCTACCATAAACGGCAGAAAGAAAACCTTTCTTTAAAAAAATAGTGCCTGTAAAACAAATCCTTGTGAATGTTGGGTAAGTGTAAATTCAGGGTACAAGATATCTTTCTTAGCTTTAGGTACTTTTCCAATGCTTGTCTTTATTAAACATGGGTGATTTGAAAATATGAAGTTTCTGAGAAGGCTCATGTCATTGGCCAAAAAGAATGAAATCACAAAGCTTGAAACACATTCCTGTTAATGGGGCTCTTTCTGAGAATCTTGCTTTTTCACATCAGCTTTCTTTTTTCAACCACTCTACCCTGGCAATACTAATACCAAGTGTTCTTTTCTTTATTGCTCTAAATGGAGAAAACAAAACAGAAAGCTTAATGAACTTGCCTTTTTAAAAAAGCTTTTACAGAAGTCAAAGTTTAAAAAACAGTATGAACTAGACGGAAGACCAGCTTGAGCTTAATGTGTTTATGTATCAATTTGTAAAAATATAGCGCATTCAACGGCTTAATGTCAGAAGGGTGTATGTCTAGATGGTGGATCATTGATGTATTTATTTTATATTACCTTTATCCATTTTCTTCAATCAGCATTCACTACCTTTGTTATATAAAACAATAAAAAGTTTGTAAAAGGTTAAATATATACATATTTTAAAGTTATCCATAGTTATATTAGCAAACAGTGGTACAAAAATCTGGAAAGGTCCAAAGGGAAGTCCTGAGAGGTAGCTGGAGTAGAAATTGCCACTGAATCATAGCTTTGACACAATCCCATCAGTTTGGAGAGTAGCTACCTCCCCTCCTGTTCACTTCCCTGTCCCAGCTCATCACCAAATCTATCCAGGCAGTGATGCTGGTCAGCAGCCTTGAGCTTAAGCATGGTGGATCCTTGCCATTATTTCTCAATTCTCACCACCCACCTCCCTTCCAGTATTGGCAGGCTGGCTCATGTCCTCAGCCTCACCTCACAGATACTGCCCTATCATACACACTGACTTCTCTGCCTCTAGGCTTTTATTCTATTGACACATCTCTGTTACATCAACTAATCTTTTCCAAATATTTCTTTACCGTGTTGGACATCTGTTAAAGAATCTCACAGAAGCTCCATTTCTTGTTTTCTCCTATTCCAAGTTTGAATTTTTTTCATGCCGTCTAGTTATGCTATAATTGGCTATAAGTCACCAAACTATTTCTCTGAGCTCACATTCTGCTCTTCACCATGTCTCAGTTCTGGTCAAGCACTTCTCTCTCTCTCCCATGTAACTCAAGCACAGTTCCATATTTCAATCCTTATTTGTTTGGCTATGTAGGAATATCTTCCTCTTTTCAATCTACTCAAGTACTAATGACCCTTTGATCTGGCCCAATTCCTACTTTCTCCACAAAGCCTGACTGACAAGTCCAACCCAGGGAGCTCTCTCTTACTGATTCTCACTTGTTCATGTAACATGAAGATAAAAAAAAATTATATTCAAAACCAGAACTGACTAAACTGACTATAACCACTTTCACATACTAGATAAGTAACATTTTTATATAAGGGGAGATGATTCTTTTCTTTGGATTTTTTTATTGTTATGTTAATCGCCATACATTACATCATTAGTTTTAGATGTGGTGTTCCGTGATTCATTGTTTGTGCACAACACCCAGTGCTCTATGCAGAATATGCCCTCTTTAATACCCATCACCAGGCCAACCCATCCTCCCACTCCCCTCCCCTCCAGAACCCTCAGTTTGTTTTCCAGAGTCCATCGTCTCCCATGGTTTGTCTCCCCCTCCGATTTCCCCCCCTTCATTCTCCCCTCCTGCTCTCTTGTTTTTTTTTTTTCTTAACATATATTGCATTATTTCAGAGGTACAGATCTGAGATTCAACAGTCTTGCACAACTCACAGCGCCCACCAGAGCACATACCCTCCCCAGTGTCCATCACCCAGTCACCCCATCCCTCCCACCCCACCCCCCACTCCAGCAACCCTCAGTTTGCCTCCCGAGATTAAGAATTCCCCATATCAGTGAGGTCATACGATACATGTCTTTCTCTGTTTGACTTATTTTGCTCAGCATAATACCCTCCAGTTCCATCCACGTCGTTGCAAATGGCAAGATCTCATTCCTTTTGATGGCTACATAATATTCCATTGTATATATACCACTTCTTTATCCATTCATCTGTCGATGGACATCTTGGTTCTTTCCACAGTTTGGCTATTGTGGACATTGCTGCTAGAAACATCGGGGTGCATGTACCCCTTTGGATCCCTACATTTGTATCTTTGAGGTAAATACCCAATAGTGCAATTGCTGGATCATATGGTAGCTCTATTTTCAACTTTTTGAGGAACCTCCACACTGTTTTCCAGAGTGGCTGCACCAGCTTGCATTCCCACCAACAGTATAGGAGGGCTCAAGGGGAGATGATTCTTTTTAAGGAGAGATTGCTTGACAGGCTCTTTGGGAGTAGTGAGACTTCCCCACAGCATGTATTACAAAAGGGTGCCAAATTGTTCTTCAGAATTAAAGGGTAGAAATGTGGATTATCTGAGATTGTGTATAAGAGAGAGTAAGAAGTTTGGAAATGCTGGGGAAGAAGACGGGACAGGAAAGTCTGAGACAATGTAGCTAAGTCCATAGCCCTAGGGAAGTATGGACAGTGAAAAGTCACTCATGCCTGGGACTGGCTAAGAATATACACATTTAATTTTAATGTTTGTCCTGTGCTGTAAACCCCACCTTCCATTCTCTCCATTCTTAAGTAAAGTTCTGTCTTGTATCAATGGCTTCTGGAGGAGTGAAGGAATAAGAGCTATGGCCGGGTGGGGGCAAAGCTGCGCAGCCCAAGGATAGCAGCTGCAGAGGTGAGATGCCACATATAAAATCATTAAAGACTAGAATAAGAAAACTGAACCAAGGGCACCTGGGTGGCTCAATTGGTTAAGCGTCTGCCTTTGGCTCAGGTCATAATCCCAGGGTCCTGGGATGGAGCCCCCAGTCGGGCTTCCTGCTCAGTGGGGAGCCTGCTTCTCCCTCTGCCTCTGCCTGTCAGTCCCCCTGCTTGTGCTCTCTCTCTCTCTGTGTCAAGTAAATAAATAAAATCTTAAAAAAAGAAAAGAAAACTGAAGCAAGAGGAAATTAAGAGATATGCCTCACCAGTAATTCTCAGCTATTGGAATGGTTACTGGGTTTTTCATAGTACATGAGAAAAAGCCAAGTTGTATTTAAATATTAAAGAGAAGGGGGATGCCAAAGAGTTGGGGACACCCAGGTAGCTGTCTATGGAGGTCACACAATTTTAAGCCAACTTTAATTCATCTCTTAAGTCTGTGATAGTTTCATATCTGTAAACATTAACTCCTCTACCAGATTATAATCTAATTGGGGGAGCAAATTAATTTATAATCTTTTAAATCTCTACAATTGCTGCCTTAGGTCAGGTGCTCAATAAATACCAGTTGGATGGCAGTAAATTAAGTTGAATTAAGAGACTGTTTTTCACGATTACAAGAAAGCTCATCAAACATTATTGTTAGTGTAAGAACACCTACAGAGTCAACCATTTTTAAAGCGTGTATATTACTTTTTTAAAGACTTTTAGAAAATTGTGTTGAAGGGTGCCTGGGTGGTGCAGTTGGCTAAGCATCCGACTCTTGGTTTAAGTTCAATTGTGATTTCAGGGTTGTGAGATTGAGCCCTGTATCAGGCTCCTTGCTCAGTGCAGAGTCTGCTTAAGACTCTCTCTCCCCCTCTGCCCCTCCCCACTGTGCTCTCTCTCCCTCTCTAAAATAAATAAATGTTTTTTATAAAAAAGAAAATTATGTTGAAATTTATGTAAAAAGACAAATGAAACTGTTATCAGAATTCATATAAAATAGACTGTTCAGAAAATATTTTCCCCTTGTAATGAAAAGAGAATAATCGTTAGAATTTATATTTCTAGCTGTTTGCATTATGGTTCAGAGTTTGAATAAATCATGAACTAAGACTCCTAATGTTGTCTTTCTCTGAATGTTATACAACCAAAGAAGTTATATAAGGAAGGGGGAAACGTTATTTTATTCAACTTACAGCCTATCCTTGTTTTCAACATAATAAATTAAGTCATTCTATATGTAAGTAATACATAGTTAAGATATTTGAAGGCTTATAACTCCTACCATTAAGAAGTTAGCCTGTCATTTTTTTAAAGGTTTTATTTATTTATTTGACAGAGAGATAGAGGGCACAAGTAGGCAGAGCAGCAGGTAGAGGGAGAGAGAGAGAAGCAGGCTCTCTACTTAGTGGGGAGCCTGACAGCTCCATCCCAGGACCCTGAGATCATGACCTGAGCCAAAGGCAGATGCTTAACTGACTGAGCCACCCAGGCG